GAGAGAGAGAGAGAGAGAGAGAGAGAGAGAGAGAGTGCTTGTATAACAATTCAGTTAAATGGACCTGAATGTTGCAGTAAAAAGAAGAACTCACCTCGTCACTAAAGATTCTGTGTCGGCCTTCTCAAAATATCACGTGGGTTTTCTTTTCAAGAGTTTCGTGACTCTAATGTTTGCTCTGTTCTTTTTCAAAGTCAGCTCAAATTGTCGGAGTTACTGCCTTGGAATGGACCTTATCCATGGCCAAAACAAAAATCGCATTTATGTTTCCTGAATACATAGTAAATTAGATACGCGTTGTGCGTGGAAATAAAATACGTTCCGTCACATGACAACAACAAAAGGAAAGCCTCTGCTGCTGCAGTGTTGATATTCATTACAACAACAACAGCAACAACAACAAAATAACAGCAACCACAACCACAATAACGACGACCACGACGATGGCGACGACGACGACGATGATGATGATGATGATGATGATGATGATGATGATGATGATGATGATGATGATGATGATGATGATGATGATGATCTCGGCAGCAACAAAATCTACCAACATGAAATGACTGGTGAATAAGGGTAGAAAAAGCTACTTCTTCGCCACAGTTATTATATGGAACATGAGTGGCACTGGAAATGTCAGTAATTTTATGCCCCTATCGACACAATTTAGATCATTTAGGAGGCGTGCATGCGACCCTATCTTCCAGGGCCAACTCGGACTGAGAAAAAAAATGCAACATCACAGCAGAAAGAACGAAATACTCAATGCCCCCCCTCCCGTCTTGGTGATCGAACTCAAGTCCCCTGCGTGTGACAGCGAAACACTTATAACTTCTGCAACACAGACTCCGCTTGTAAATCCTTCATGATCAAGGTTGTTGAACACACAGACCTGCAGAGAGCAAATTGAAATGTCTTTAGAATAATAATATGAAGTCTTCATAACAACTGCAACAAAACTTTCTGAACCCCCCGGGGCAGTGCCACTGACTGAAGTGTCGTTAGGCCATTCACAAAGGGGGGACATATCTCGTTCAAGCATAGTAGGATTATTGTAAATGGGCTGATTCATGTCACGCTCATAACTGTGCCTGATCTACAACAGGAGACTGCTGCTTTTTCTTTCCTGATCCTTACAATTGTCATTTTCCTCTACTTCTTTTGTATGTTTGTCACTCTCTTGTGACCTGCTATTTTGGGGTGCCTTGATAGTCGAAGCAGACCTTGTGCTGTTGAAGCTAGAGAGGTGAGCAGTCTAAGTCTGATTCCCTGTAAAGACTTCTCTGTTGACACCCACCCCTTGGCGCTCATATGACCTTATGCAGTTGCGAGCGCCGTAAAACTCTCTACTATTTTAAAAAAAAGGCTTTCTGCAGCCATGCCGATACTCGTAACAGCAGCAACAGCAACAGGAACAACATCAAGAACGACGACGATGACCACAATGTCAACAACAGGAGGAGCACAACATGTTAATGACAGGAGCGACTGGAGCATGAGCTTTATAATTAACATGATAATTAAGCTAATGGTGATGATGATAATGATGATGACTAATGAGGATTGATGATCATCATGATGATGATGTTGAAACGTTGAACTTATTTTATAGTGTCAAGAATATTGATATACTCAAGCCTCCACCTTTTTTTAAATCACTGTCATGCTTACAACCATAATGATAGCTAGTCTAGTCATTAATAGTATTTCTTAAATGTTCCTGTCGACGCCCGTAGAGGGCGAAAGGTGGAATGCATTATGGAATATTTTGGAAATGATGATGATGGTGTTGATGATGATGATGATTTTTTTTTTTTTGGGGGGGGGTTGTTTCCTTAATGGGCCGGGCGGACTCCTCGAAGAAATCTTCGAACGAGAGCGAGGCTCTTTTTCGGCTCCATTGTCAATATGCTTAGCAGCACCTCCACTCGTCCAAATAACTCCATTCGAATTGCCATTGTTCCTGGACACTCAAAATAGCTTTGACGTCTTCCTTTTCATGGCCGCATCTTCGGTAACGTGGGCTGAGCTCTTCATTTACAAAATTCTTATACCATCTCAAGTTCCAATGATGGTCCGACCGCAGTCTCGCTAGCTCAATCTGGTCCCAGCGACACGTGATATTTTGTTCCTGCTTATAGGAGTAACCAGAATACACATCTTCCAGGTGCTGGTACTTAGCTCTGCTTGGTGGGTCTCGGATTTCCCTCTAGATCTTTGGAAAGACTCCTCTGTATGTTGTTGATCGTCTGTCTCCCTCAATCTCTCTGGCTTCATTAACAGCTTGGTCTGCTGCGTCATTTCCTTCTATTCCAACATGGCTTGGAATTCACTGGATTTTTATTGTGACTGTGGCTTCACTGAACTTGCGACGCAAATCATTTATGTCTAAGCTGTTGCCTAGCAGTCCCTTGCAGAGGGACTGACTGTCATCAATATCAGCACATTGGTTCTACTGTGGCTATTGTCAGCAATCCATTGTGCAGCAGACATCATTGCCTGGCATTCCTCGTCAAAAGATGATGTAAGGAATGCACCTTGATGATGATGATGATGATGATGATGATGATGATGATGATGATGAGGATGAGGATGATGATGGTGATGATGATGATGATGATGATGATGATGATGATGATGATGATGATGATGACAAAATCAACTTGCATTACCTAAAATAAAGTGATAAATAAAACAACTGGTACTTGGTACAGGAAATCAATCGTCAATGTCGTCATAGTTTTTCCAACACGCTGCGTCATCCACATGCGTGTATAAAACGGTGAAATGGTATGGGTTTAACGCCCCCTGTCAACACTATTAGGTTATTTAAGAGGCGGGGCCTCTTAGTTTAACGTCCGTCTCCGAAAGGACCGAGCCAAGTGGGATATTCGTGTAAAGTGCCTTTCCCAAGGACACAATGTCGGGCCGATCTGAGGCTCGAACCCCCGAACCCGCAATCTTACGATTACAAGTCCGGTAGCCTAACCACTAGGCTATCGACGCCACTATGCGTGTATAAATAATATGCTTAAGAGTTGACATTCTTCTTGACACAAGTGAGTCATTTCAAAGGCATGTTGTTTACTGGAGTTGGTGGAGAGAAGGGTGGGAGTATTGTTTCAATTAATTATAGATTCTCGGTCTACGAACCCACGCGAAAGAGGGAACAGTAACTAAAGAGAGTAGAAATTACGTCAATGATGAAACTATTATATGGGGTTTGGGGGTGAGGCGCATGATCGTGTGGCATTTGAAATCCAAAGGGGTTGCGTCTTGCGTTGATGGAATGAGAAATCTATAGTATTACTGTTGAACCCTTCGTACGTAAAGTTGTTGTGCGCATGACCCAACAAAGTATATGTATAAATGTATAATTATATTAAGATTCTGCTTGTGTGTTAACATGGTAGTGTGTCACTGTGTGTGTATGGGTATGTGTGTGTGTGTGTATGGGTATGTGTTTGTGGTGACTGACTGAGAAAATGAGAGAGTGGGAGAGAGAGAGGGAGAGAGAGACGGGGAGAGGGAGAGAGAGAGAGAGAGTTACAGAGTGAGAGGTGGGAGGGGGAGAGGGAAGAGGGGATGGTCCCGTCAACTGAAAGTGGGGGTGGAGAGTGAAAGAGACGGGGAAACTGAGATGCTTTTGAGAGCGTACAAGTTTCCTTTTTTCTAAATAAATCACAAAATGATTAGATATCTATATAATGTAAAGCCTAAAACGGTGTAAGAAATATCCACTGGAAATGTGTGGCGTAATACACCAGAAATGTGCTAGTTATAAAATGTCTGCTATAGTGAGTGTATAAAATTGTTTGTGTCGTCCTTTAGGCTTTAGATATAGCTATTTTAGGACTTTTCTAGTGACACAGTAGCTCACAGCTTCAGTGGGCTTTTACTTCAAAAGATTTAATAATTATGTTAATCAAAAGAGTTATCGTCACAACATTTTTTGATTTAGTAAAGGGGTACATGTCATTGTATTAACGGGATTCGTGTTAAGCGAGTTCCTCTGTACGTGAAGTTCTGGCACTTACATGACCAAAATTGAGTCGATAGTGCCGTAAAACACCTACTCATCAATCAATCAATCAATCAATCAATGTACGTGAAGTTTCGATCCTGGGATCCGTTGGTGGTCTCGGGAGCCTCTAGTGACAGGAGATACGACATGTAATAAAGTTGTATAATTAATAGATCTGTTGAATTCGTGGTGCACCCGGCATCTGAAACGTTTGGAACGTTTTAAACAGAGTAGGCTAGTGTTGCCGTGGAAAAAAATACTTCAATGGTCGATTTTTTCACAAGATCAGAAGACGACGTCTTCTTCTTCTTCTTGTCCTCCTCCCAATCATCATCGTTGCCTCCCCCCCCCCCCT